CGAGTCATTTGTAGGAAAATGGATGCACCCTTGAGACTATAATATTAAATGAAATAACTTCTAGCTTATCACATGGTTTCTCTTGTACAAGAAAACCAAAATATAAGTAGGGAGCAAAATAAAAGATAAGAAGTAAGAAGACAGATCCTTTGCAAAAGAGAAAGGAATCGAGAGATGCAGGGAGAGGGGAGGAAGGAGCGGGGAGGAGGAAGAAAAGGGATTGGAATGTGTTACGCTCATGGACCAACTCTCCATGACGAATGTAGTCTTTATGTACTGCACACATGGATTAATAAAAAATAAAAAGTCTGCTCCTGCATTTCCAGACCCTGAGATGAACCCACATAGTGTTAGGAGGCTGAGGGAGGGAAGAATCCCTGCAAAGACTCAGAGAAGACAGACAAATATTCAAGTATTAACAAAAGGAGGAAGCCTTGCAGAGGTGGGCTGGAAGGAAATGGAGAGCTGTGTTTCACGGGTACCAAATTTCAGTTTTGCAAAATGAAGAGGTCTAAGAACAGGGCAAGTATGCTCAATGCCACTGACCTGCACACCGGAGATGGCTGAGGTAGAAGATGTCTTGTTTCATGTCTGTCTATGTCAGATGGACACAAAATAAAATTTGCCACAATTTAAAATGAAAAAAATGTTAATATATTAACACCAGAAGCAAACTCTCATTTTGAGGAAGTCTAAGGCTTGAGAGTGAATTTTGAAAGACTGTGGTGTTGCTCTGCAGCAGGGCTGGATTAACATGGTGAGGCCCTGACTTGGATCCCCAGAAGCTGCCAACTGCTTCCCAAAATGAAAGAAGACTGAATTTTGCAAGAATGACTGTCATCATCATCACCACACAACGGTGCTCTGGTGGGCACTGCCTTCATGCTCACAACCCAGAAAGTGGAGCTGGGCAGAGGCCAGGCATCCAGGAACACAGGAAGGGCAGGCCAGAAAGCAACAGTGAAGTCAGAAAAAGGAGAAGTGAGAGTTGCTGCGGCTGGTGGACGACTCAGCTCATCCTCCATGCACCTGCAGGGCTGTCAGGGGCACTGAGACCAGGTCTGCAGAGCACAAGCCACTTCAGAGGCCAGCAGAGCCCCGGCAGCACAGACACCACAGAGGAAGCAGGAAGAAAACCTGGACTCCAGTCAACTCAAGTCAACAGACTTCCCAGTCTCTCTCTCCTGTGGGCCTTGGGGGGAATAAACAGGGTCTCCCATGCCTGTAGCCAGCTCCAGGCCTAAGGGCCTCAGTCCTGGCAGCCCTCAGGGGTAGGTAGAGGGGGACCTAGAAAACATGGCCTGATGTGCCAAATGCTGCCTGTCCCTCACCAAAGTCCCTGAGATCCCACATGGCCTGGTGCTACTGACTCCTGACTTTACAATGACACCCTAACTTCACGAAAGACACCTCCTCTATGCCTTTCCTACACATTCAGTGCCCCCATGCCAGGTCTCTGCACTAGTCTCTCTAGCATACCAAGCACAGCGAATGACACTTATACTTGTAATCCTAGCCACTCAGAAAACTGAAATGGGGAAGACTACAAGATCCAGGACAGCCTGAGCAATTTAAAGAGATGTGTCAAAATAAAAAGGGCTGGGGATGTAACTCAGCAGTAGAGCGCCTCTGGATTCAATCTCCAATACCATAAAAAAAAAGAAAGAAAAAGAAAAAAAGAAAAGACAACCATACTGCCTCCTGCAGCTGCTATCTCTGCATGACACACCCTCTGCCATCACACAGACATTTCCTTCATCTGAATCAGTCAGCTCCCATTCCACTGTACACTCCACAAAAGCAGAGCACTACCCACCCACCCCTCCTGTCTCATCCCAGGACCTTGAATCATGCCCAGTTCAGACTGTCAGGGCCATCTGTCTCCTCTCCTCAAGTGACTCTCCAGCACTCAGCTATGAAATTCATGTTGGCCTCCAGTGTTCATACTCCCGGGCACTAAGGCAGGACCGATGCCTACCATGTTCTTCATCTCTTCCTCCAGCTACTGGGAGCAACACCAAACAGGACGCAGGTAAGAAGAGAGACCACAGCCTATGATTCAGAGATGCTGACAGAGGGACGAAGAAGGGTTTGATCTCAGAGGGTAGAGAGGAAGAGTGGACCCCAGTGGGATGGGGGTGACTGGAATGAAAGGACCACAGGGATGGGTACAAATCCAGAGAGAGCCCAATGAATGGAAAGTACTTGAGCCAACAATTGGATTAAACTCACTTGGGTGGTTGAGCATCCACTTTGTAAAGTTATTTCAGTTTTGCAGTCAGTGTCCCCAGCCCCTGACACCTCCCTGTCCAACAGGCAGGCCCAGTCCTTCCCCTAGAGGGGGATTTCAGTGGACAGTGGATGTGCCCTCCAGGGCAGCCAAGGGCTGGGAGACAGTGCAAAAGAGCTGCAACTCCAGAGGGTCATGGGGCAGCCCTAGGGCAGACTTAACCTGAGACAGTCGTTCAGCCTCCCAGCATGAGCTGTTCCATAAACCATGGGCCACAGGACCTTGTTGAAGAAGCAACTTAAGGAAACCAAAACAGCAACTACACAGGAGGCTAAGGACTACAGTAATATTTCTTCCCTCACTTCTCCCTGTACATGGTTCCCGTACAATGTCATTCTGTACATAAAGGACACTTTGAAAAGGAGCTATGAAATATACCTTACAAATCACTCTCCAATTCAAAGTGTCTAAGAACCATGAACTGACTGCCCAAACAAGAATGGGACTAGTAGGGTGGGTTAGTCTGGAGAACTCGCCTGAAACTACTGTCCCCTGATCTAACAGGACGGTGGCCTCCGGCAGGCTCCAATTCCCTCTTGCCCTGCTCCATGATTTTGCAGGGAGCTCTTTGCTCACTGAGGTTCAGCCTTTTCCCTCTGAAATGCAGGCAGAGTAGCCTACAGACAGCATTCTCAGCTCCCCAGACCTGAAACCATCCAGCTGCTCGATGATATAAAGCAAGAAGTGGGAAAAGTAACCTTGAAGTCCTGGCTCCGGCAGGTGCTGACTTCAGGGCACTAACCTTACACTGCTTTGTTTTGTTTTGTGTTTTTCTCTTTTTCCTCTTAAATAAAAAAAAAAATTCAAAGGATAAACAAAATCCCCACCCCTTGCCCCAGGTTCTGTTGTAAGGTTTTAATTCTCTTTGTTTCTTATCTTGGAGATGTCACAGTGAACTTGTCGGATAAATGGTATATTTCCTCCTAGGTTTAGGTGATTGTAGATATACAGCTATCCACACACCAACCCTTAAAATGCCTAGAGGACAGTTTTCACAACTAAAGCATCAGACAGTACACTCAACAGAATTACTACAAATAAAATATCTTCAATGCTTGCCTCATGAGGTCCTCCTGGAAAGTGAAGGGGAAACTGCAATTAATAAATACCTCTAACAGGGCACTCAAAAGAAGCAGTCACACTCAGCCATAAGCACTAAAGATCAGACACTAAACTTCTAAGGGACTTAGCATTCGTCTGATGCATTCGAGATTGGGAATGCTTTCCCCTTCAACCTATGAAGTACATTAAAAATAAAGAAAGGGGTGTTATTTTAGAAAAAAGAACACAACTACAGATCCTCACAGCAAGTCACACACACAAATACTCCAAAGGGAGTCACTAGAAGCCAGCTGTTTTTAATAACCGGCTTCCTCTGCCTCACCCATGTATGAAGACGACAACTTCAAGGAGAGAAGAAGCACGCATTTCTCCAAAGTATGAACAACTGATCTTCCCGCACCAGTCAAGGCCCAGACAGGGACACAGCGAACTGAAAGCCCCTAGTCAGTCCAGTACCCGGAACAAGACCCTCCAAGTTTATAAAACACTAACCAGACTCAAAATGCGACTGGCCGACATGTTGTGTCCTGCTTTCAGGAGGCCGCCTTGCAAGACACAACAGGTGCAGGTGATACAACTAACAGAACACCAGCCGAGTTTCACGCTCACCTACATGTGTCACATGATGTTCAGGCTGACTCGGGCACACATGTGCGCGGCTCTGCAATGTGCTCACACCTTGCTAAGCCTCAGCCATGTAAGACGGAAACAAAGAGAGAAGCAAAAGCGTGTCCTGGAGAGGGCGGGGGTGGCAGGGAGCCACCTCCATTCATCTTTGGCTGAATGGGTGCGGCCCGGTCTGGTCTCCAGAGCTAGTATCAGAGGCTCCTTTCCACCTGCACACCCAGAGCATCCACCTTGTAGGTCAAGCCCTAGCCCAGTCATCCAGGCCGATCCCATCTGTGAGCAACCAAGGGGAACCCCACGCACTCCCTCTGCTTTCATCTGTGAAAAGGGCCCCGGGGGGTTCCTCTGGCAAAACCTTCATCAAAGGTTTTTGTCCTTCCCAAAGAGGAGGAACAGGTATGATGCATCTGCCATAGCCGCATTCCACACTTCCCAAAGCCAATGTCCACACCAGTGGGCGCCAAAGAGAAGTTCCTGTGCCTGCACAAACTCAAGACCTCTGAGCTTTCAGACTAGATATGTGCAGGCCCCTAATCATCCTCTTTCTCAAGTCTCAGACAGAAGACAACAAGACCACAAGGTCCCTGGCCCAGGCTCCGTGACCTGGAGGCCTTGTCCCTGTACAAGCCCAGGACACGGCTGCCCGATGCAGGCCTGCTTAGGCCCGCAGCAGCTCTAGATCTCCCTCCGTAGGCGCGTGTTAGGCCACGCGCGCGCCTAAACAGTCCCTTACAGAAGGCGCGCGCGCGCACACACGGTCAGAGAGCTGCAACCAGTCCCGGCGGCGCCATGCGCCCCGCGGCAACTCGCGCACACCACCAAGTCGTGCAGCTCGCAACAGTCGCGGGGGCGGGGGCCGACTGGCGGAGCCAGTCCCTGGCCTGGAGTCCCCGCCCCACCGAGGTCCGGGCCTCCAGCCAGCGCCCGCGCACCTGCCGCGCGCGCGCCCCCGTGTGCCCTCCCCACCCACCCCCCCCCGCTCCGCTCCGCGAGGGGACGTCTTGGTACCCGCTGGGCTTACCAGCGGTAGCAGCCTTCCGAGGCCTCCAGGGTGAAGTTGACGCGCGTGGCCCGCGTGAAGGGCAGCAGCACTTTGGGGATGTTGAGCTTGGCGGCCGCGGCAGGACCCAGAGCGGGCAGCGCCAGCAACGCAGAGAGCACAAGCAGCGGCGGCGGCGGCGCCTGGGCCCGCGCCATCCTCGCGGCGTCACCCGTGACCCGGCCTGCGCTCTGCCCTCCCGCCCGCGCCTCTGTCCCCGCCCGCGCCGGGGCAGCAGGTGATAGCGGGGAGGGCGGGGCAAGGCCGCCTCCTCCAACCACTTCCTGAGCTGCCGCGCGCGGGAAAGCAGGGGCCAGGCTCGTGGCGCCCCCACCCCTGGCTGGCGCGCCTGGGGGCCCGATGGGGGTGGGGCGGCGCCTGGGCCACGGTGCGTGGGTGGAGGCGGGGATGCGCCTGTGGGGGAGCAGAGAAGGCCGCGCGCGCGCCCGCGGGACGCCCTAGATCAAGCGGAGGCCAAGCCGTTGTGCTGCCTGTGTGTGTCCTGGGAGGATTTAGGGCATTGGCTGGCACTGGACGCCCCTGGGGAACCTTCTTATCTTTCCGCAGTCAGCTCTTTTCAGTGCCTCACCGTAGAGTCAGAGGCAGAGCCAGGCCTGGACGTAGCCATGAGCAAGACCATTGCAAAAGGACACACACCCGCTGGACAGCTGGCATTTGGCCAATGCATCCCTCAGCCCAGCCCATAAAACACTGAAGCCCTGCTTCTGTCCTTTGTCCTCCTCACAGCCATGCCAGGAAAATGCTAGCATCCTCAAAACGGACTAAATGGCCCCAAGATTGTTCTGTAGACCAGGCAGTGCTTGGGTGGTAAGTCGCTGATCCCTGACCTCATGTTCTCTGCGAGGTACCTTCTGTCCTCCGGAAGCCCTAAGGGAGTCACCCCAAAGGTCAGATTGAGGGCAACAGTGCTCTCAGAGCACACCGAGCTCCTAAGTGCAGCCTGACTGAATTGAGCTGCACAGAGACAAACTGAAGATCTTAGGAGTCGGCTCTAAGTGCTCTGGTTTGTAGCTGTCTTTGTCATGAATTCTCACGATGTGCTTCTCAGGGCCTCTAAACTGTTCATCTAGTTTTTCAGGGAAACTTTCAGCCTAGTGGGAAGAGGTCAGTTTAAAAAGGTGCAGGCAAGGATGCACAGACCCTGTTGGGTACAGAAGCTTGTGGGGACTTGTAGCCAGTGAGGCAAACAGAGGTGCTGCGGAACACAGGAAGGGGAAGCTAATTCTCAGTCAAGCTCAGAAAGGCAGCTTCATTGAGATGATCCCAGGACTGGCCACAGAGAAACGTTACACTTCAGAAGGCCCAGATGTGTGTAACCCCACCTCTCTGGGCCCATCGAACTTAGAGATGGAATAAAGGATTTTGGAGTGGAATAAAGGTTTTGGAGTCACCCTCACAAAAGCGTAGGGGCCCTAGAACAGGGATATATATGGTGGGAAAAATGGCCTCAGAGATCCCATAGCTGGAAGGAGTCTGTATGTCACCAGGTGCTGTACAAGGGCCCATTTTCTACAGTGTACCCTTGAGTAGATCAGAAGGCACGCTATGCCTATCCAAGCAAATACAGATGTATGGATCCTTGCCAGACAGCTAAGTAAATAGGCAGAAGAAATTCAGTGGGGTATGAGGGTCTTGGGCTTCTGGTCCACTAGGATCACAAGTCTCTGTGGCCCCATCTTTCCAAATCTTCTCATTATTGAAGAGAAATGTGTAGCCTTGTATTTCATTTGAAATATGTTGGCTGTGATGGCAGCTAATGTATTTTAAAACATACATTCTTTCGGACATTGGTGCCAGAGAAATGAGAACTAAATATTCATCTCAGTCCCTGCACATGAACCAAAACTGGAAGAAAAGAAACGTCAAGGTCTTGCAGTGGAAGATGGAGAACCTGGTGGCACACTCATACGATGGAACATGGTCCAGAAATAAAACAAACATCCAGATGTACTGGATGGAAAAACAAAGAGGTACTGCCTTGGTGTGGGTAGTTTGAGAGTCATCCAAGAGTTCTGGTCCTCAGTGTAGTGACATTTGAAAGTGCTGTGGATCTTGTCAGAGTCCTTAGATCATGGAGGTTTGACCTCAGGGATTGGAAGACCCCAGTTTCTCTGCTTCCTGACTGAAGATAGGGCTCTTCCTGACAAATGCTCCTGCCACTGCCATGTGCCATTCACCGCGAAGTCCTCACCAGAACTAACTGCAAGTACAGGGCTCCCAGGGGGAACTCAAATTTCTTCTCTTTGTAAAGTTGATTGTTACAGGATTTCACTGTAGCAATGCAAAGTTCCATCCTACATAACTGCATTCTTGAATCAGCAAAATTACAGAAAAAAAGGGACTAGATGAGTGGTTCGGGGGGGGGTGGAGTGACAGGATGGGTGGGAGGTGATGTGGGGCTGGGGTGGTGCAAGTGCCCCAAACCTTAACTGCATCGATGCCAACTCCCTGGGTTTGCAAAACTACTGGGGGAACAAAGTAAGGGTATGTGGGAGTTCTTTGTATTATTTATTACAACTTTAATATGAATCTGTATCCATCTCAAAAAAATTGAATTACACAGTTAAAAAACAAACATGCAAACAGGCCTAATGTAACACTCTCTGAGTGGACACAGCTTGCTACTACCTCAGTAGTTGTTTTGAGGTAATCAGGACATTTTCTGCAGCAGAAAACAGCAATTTAATGGGAAAATGCTTTCCGTTGCCCTTAAACATATCCCCCTCCCTGGGTCTCGATCACCGACAGACCTGATTAAGCACTGTTTCTGGGGACATTGGTAGGAGCTGCTCCCCACTTCTCTGTGTGGTGTTTCTGATTCCTGTCATTGGGACCCTTTCCCTGGGCATCAGGTCTTTGGCTGGCACACAGAGAGGCAGGAGGGGACAGGAGTGATAGTTATACCCCAGGCACAGAGTCCCTCAGGGACAGGAGAGACAATCTGAGTGAGATGGTTGTCTCTCAGATCCATTAGAAAACATTTCCTGGAATTTATTATCAGTGCCCGCCAAACTTCTGTCATTTCCTAGCACCCTAAACAAAATTTCTTTTACACTATAAGTGCCACCTGTACTGTCATTTCCTACTTGTCTTTAAAGCAAAATGTTTGCATATATTTATATAGGAAATAAACTTTGCTGCTTCTGTAAGTAAAAAAAAAAAAAATCAGTAGCAGTTGCCAAAATAGAAGTAGGCATAAAATAAATACAAGGAAATAAAGGGTTGACATCCAATTACACTGACATGACAGTTCCTACTAAAGCCTTGGCACTCAAGGCCCGTTCTCAGGGCCTCTAGTTGGAAGAGGTCCAGCACAGCTGGTGACCAAGATACCACCAAGCTGTCCTGGGCCTTTCTTTTGCACATAGATGGACCAAGATAGTCTTAAAGACAACTGACAGCCAGGCATAGTGGCATATGCCTGTAATCCCCATACTCAGGAGGCTGAAACCGAAAGTTTGCCACAAGTTCAAGGCCAGCCTGGGGTGCTGTATTTAGCATGTCCCGGGCCAACCTGTACTACATAACAAAACCTTATCTCAAAAGAAAGACAAAAATAAATGAAAAGAGACAATGGACTTTTTCCTGTGATGTGTCGTCATATTGGAGCCTATGCACTATGTTTTTGTCACAGTTTAGTAACTTTTAAAAATCATTTTTTCATTGGAGAACCTCAGTCACAAAAGCAGATAAGGTAGTATACAAAAAGCCAATGACTTTCCAGTCCTGCAGCCACAACCCAAGCCACTTCTGTTCCTTCTATAGATGGAGTTCTACCCCATTTTGTTTTGAAAGAAACCCAAAACATCCTATCATTTCATCTTATTGATTATACGTAAATAATTAACACTAATTGCTTAGTCATAAAATACCAAGAAAGAGTTCAAATTTTCAACTGTCTCAGAAATGCCCTGATTTATTTTTTTGGTTTGTGTGTTAAGAATCAGAGCTAGTGAGTTGGTGCCATGCATGGGTTGACTGGGAGCGAGCCAGATGCCAGCCTTCTCCTATGAGTCTGTGCCATTCATGGACTGTGGGGGAGGCGAACAAGAAGTCAACAAGAAGCTAAGACCTCCTGTGAGTCGGCACCTTGCACAGACTGACTTTGGGAAAGCCAGACACCAGCCTCTTCCAGTGGGCAAGCAGGAAAACAAGAAAAGCCAACATTCCTCCCCACCCACCCTGCATAGGCAACTGGCTGATGTGGAGAAACACAAGCTGTAATAATAGTTAATGAGGTAAAACACAACTTGATGCTTATAGTGTTTAGCGTTCCACTCGCTTTGCAGGCCTAAAGCCTGTGCTCTGATCATCTATTCAGAGGATAACCGTACACAGCATAGCTTCTATGGGGAATCTCTTTCTGAAAGTAGTAGCCATTGTAATTTGCTATTATCTTGTTTGGAACTCCTGTATCATTCTCACTGTTTTGTTTGGTTGGATTTTGTTCTGTTCTATCTTGTTTGATTTTGTTGTATCTGATGGCATGGGCAGCTATTTTGAAGATAGCAAGATATATATGGTAGCTATTTTGGATTTACTATCTTGTTTTGAAATCCTTATTTCATTCATTATTTTGTTTGTATTGGTTCTTTTCTGTTTCTGTTTTGTTTGATTTTATTATGTCTGAAGGTATGGGCAGCTATTTTGAAGAAACAAGAGGCATTATGATAACCAATGTTGATTTCCATTGTCTTGTTTTGAAAACCTGTGTCACTTACACTGTCTTGTTTTTTATTGATTTTATTCTGTTTTATTCTCTCTAAAATAAAATTTAAAAAAAGGGGTGTAGCACACCAGGGGTGTAGCACCAGCTAAATGGGAGGCCAAGGCCAGAAAATCACTTGAGCCCAAGAGTTTGTGGTCAATCTGGGAAACAAAGCAAAACCTGCCTCAAAAAGAATCAGGATCTGTGCTGGACATGGCACACACCTATAATCCTATCCAGAAACTGAAGTAGGAGAATTGCTTCAAGTTTAAGGCCAGTTTGGGCTACATAGTGAGGTCAAGGCTGGCTTGAATTGCATAGCAAGACCCTGACTCAAAAAAAAAAAATTAGGATCCAAGTAAGATTCACACCTTGTAATGGATGGAAATAGCTCTTTCTCCCCCTTGCAATTTATGTATTATCCCTTTGTCTGTGGAACAGGTGTTTTCCTTTCAGAACAGCCCCAAGCTCAGTCCTGCCTTCTCTGGACCTCACGCTGTAGTCCTTGCATGTAGTATCACAGTAGTGATAGTGGCTTCCTCACCGAGTACCTGGTTGCTTTGCTTGTACATGTGTGTGCATGTGTGTGTTTGGTTTGTTTTGTTTCGGTGCTGTGATCAAAGTTGGAACCTTAATATGTACATGCCAGGGAAGTACTCTGCCACTGAGCTGCATCCCTACTCTGATTCTGGAGTTTTGCCCCTGGAAACAGGGATGCCCACTGTGGGCCACCAGAATCTTCTCCGAGCAGGAAACCTCAGCTTAGTGGAAAATACAAAGGAAGAAGAAAACTGTGTTGGAATGGCTTCCGCCTTGGCAAAGTCCCTTCTAGAACCTTATCATGCTTACAGTAATGGCACCATTTAATTACAGAAATTGTTCTGCTTATCGGTGCCCAGACATGCTGACTCCCGAGGGAGCTATGTTTTGTATTTGCACTGATTCTCACTGCAGACAGTTTTCTTACATTTGCCACATTTGCATTCTGCTAGAAACTGGTGAGCGTTTGCTTTAGCCCGTGAACGCTCCGCCTGTGTCCTTCTTCCGTGAAGGTATCACTCAAGAGACAGCTGCAGAATAAGCATTGCAGCCAACTAGCAGCACCTTTGGCCTGCTTGAATTCCAGGCACACATGTGCTGCCCAGCTGCCCATTGCAGCCCTGGCTGGGCACTCAGGAGTACTGAAAGATTCCGAACTGCCCTAGCAGCTTGGCAGATCTCATAGTTCATGTTCTCAAGGATTCATTTTCATACCAAGTTAATGAGGTTCTGGGATGTGCAGACAGCTGAGAAATCATTGTTCCTCATGTCTGTGAGCATCTCAGTGGAAGAGGTTTTGAATCTACACTGGGTAAAGAGGATCTACCCTCACCAATATCATCTAATGCATCATCTAATGCATTAAAGGCCCGAATGGAACAAAGAGGTAGAAAAAGAGCAAATTCATTCTGCTGGAGGTGGGCCATCTGCATTCTGCTGCCCTGGATACCGGAACTCCTGACTCCAGGACTCCAGACACTGAGACACGTGGCCAGTCTCCTTGCCCCACCCCCAACTCTTCTGATCTGGCTGTGAGTTGCCACTGTTGGCTCAGCCTTGAACTGATGGATGCTACAACTTTCCTGCTTTTCTGCTTGCTGGTGGCAGATGGTAGGACTTGTCAGCCTCCACAGTTACATGAGCAAATTCCCATAATAAACAAGTAAATAAATACGTGCATGTGTGTGTGTGTGTGTGTGTTCTGTTCTTTTTCCCTGCAGAACCTTGACTGATACAGATCAACACAAGTCACAGTGCTCCCCTCACCAGCACTCCAGAGTCTTCTGGGTGGCTTTGGCAGGGACTGCAGACTCCTTCCTCTGGTCCCTGGGTCATGTAAGATCTCTTTGTTTCTCGCACCAGCATCCATCTCCTCTTAGCTGCATGCACCTGGGTACATCTTGCCTCTGTGACCGACCTAGCTAATTTGGCCCCTGGGATGATCATTTTTGAACACGCATCCTTTACAACACAGACATTTTTTAAAGTAACATTAGATACAATATAATAATGTCTAGGAAAATACCATTTAATTCTTTTATTGAACTTTCTATATAAAAGCGATCCAGCAAAATCTCGTTGTTACTGCTTTTGGCTTTTTGAGACAGGGCCTTGCTAGCTATCCCAGGCTGGCCTGGAACTCACAACGATCCTTCAATCTCAAACTGCAGAGTGCTGGGATTAGCCAGTAACATTTTTAAATAAAAAATTACTATAGTCAAAAGAGCTTGCAGATTAAAAACACATTGATTGTCATTTTTAAGAAATTCCACACCTAAATATTGCTACAATGGATAACACTTAGATATACAAACCACTAAGTAATTAGGATGAATAACAATGAAAAGAGAAGGACTTTCAGTCTCAAAGCTGATCATGCAAACTCTGTAAGATTTACACGTACCAAACCAAAATATTACCCCTTGCAGTTGATACCCTGTTTTGCTTTTTAAGATTTAAACCAAATAAAGATTACAAGTGATCTTATAGAACAGAGAAATGCAAAAATCAAATGAGATGGCACCTCACACAGAAAACAAGTGTTGGTGACAACATGGAGAGATTGGGAGGACTGCACTGATAGCCAAAGCATGAGCATGGTGCCGCCCTGTGGAAAAAATAGGGCAACACTTCAGGAATTAAAACTTTCATTGCCACATGATCCAGCCATCCTACTTGTGGGAATATACGCCAGAAAATTAAAAGCAAGATCTCTGCACACCCATGCAGCAAACTCGAGAAACAACCCAAGTGTGCCTCAGTGAATGGGAGAGCAGTACATGCTATGGTCACATTGTGGGACATTATTCAGGCTGGAAAAGGAAGGAAATTCTGTCATGTACTACAACATGGACCAAAGGGGCAGCTACTGCATGATTTCACCTGTATGAGGTTCCTCGAGTAACCAACCAGAGAGACAGGATTGTGTTGCTAGAGGCTGGGATAGGGAACGAGGAGTTGTTATTTAATGGGCCCAGAGTTTCAGCTTTGCAAGATGAAATGTGGAATTGAATGCAACATAATGTGAATATATTGAACAATACTGAACTGTGTGCTTAAACATTACTAAGATGGTAAATTTTATATGTATTTTACCATAATTTTAAAAAAGATTATATTTAAAAAAAAAACCTTAACGGAGCCCAGAGCTGTTTTTTTTTAGAACTTAGATGTACAGGAGTTCCCTCAGAGATGTGTATTTTATCCCTCATGTTATTTAGTTTTGCCTGTGTATGGAAATAATAGTCTTGAGTCCTTTCTAGTAGTTTTAAAGTTCTGTAGAGTCCACCCCAGGACAGTGCTCACAGTGACATCCCACAAATGCTGGCCAGGTCCTGGCTCTGTTCCCTACTGGCTGGGCGGCCCTGAGAGACCTTCTGAGTTACATTTTTTTCTTTTTTTGATCTTTTTTGAGACAGGGTCTCTCTGTGCAGTTCAGGCTGGCATTGAGCTCACTTTGTAGCCCAGGCTGGTCTCGAATTCACAACAATCCTCCTGCATCAGCCTCCCAAGTGCTGGGATTACAGGCATGAGTCACCACATCCAGCTCTGAGTTACATTTTTTTACAAGACTGTATTTTAGTATTCACTGTACTATGAATCCCCCATCCCCATCATTTATTATGAGAGAAAAGCACCTATTCAGATTTGATTTGGATTGTTTGCCAACATTAAAATCTCAGGGTATTTATGAATACTCTGGGTTTATAATTTCTCTTGAAAACTCAGAAACTGGCAACACCAGGCCTGTAGTCCCACGTGATAGACTGAAAATGACTGACAGTACTGAGGATTGAACCCATGTTTGGAGCTACAGCCCCAGCCCTTTTTAAATTTTAATTTAGAGAAAAGGTCTTGCTAAGTTACCCAGACTGGCCTCAAATTTGTGATCTTCCGGCCTCAGCCTCCCTAGTATCTGAGATTGCAGTTGTGTACCACCACACCTGAGTGGCAGCTACTTTTTGAGGTAAAGTTGGTGGTCTTTCACTCTGCCACAGACTCCATAACTCTCTGCTTTTCCCAGCCAGCTTTAATCGTATTGATGCAATGGGTCCATGCAATGTGGTCTCTGCTGAAGATCCACCTATAACATATGCCCCTGTCCTCTGCCCCAGCACTGGCCCTCGGGTGAATTATATAAAAAGCACTGCCTAGTTTTTCTGAATTGAAAAATGAAATACACAATGTCCACTTCACAGGGGATGCTGAGCTTGTCAAAGGCTATGTTCAATGGAAAACCAGTTGGTAACAGTAAAGGACTCTTCTAATATGAAGAACCACTCATTCGAATTAAGATGGGATGGTAGCTGGGAGCAGCGACACACTGCTGTCATCCAGGCTTCTTGGGAGACAGGACTGACAGCTCAGGAGTTCTAGATCAGCCTTTGCAACCACTACAGAAATCAGTATGGAGAGGTCTCAAAGAACTAAAACTACAATTCCATTTGACCAGCTATTCCCCTCTAGGTATCTTCCTGAAGGAGTTAAAGACATAATATGACAGTGATCCATTCACACCCATATTTATTTCAGCACAATTCATAATAACTAAATATTGGAAGTGGCCTGTATGTCCATCAACAGATGAATGGGTAAAGAAAATGTGCTGTTTGTATACGATGGATTGTTATTCTGCCATAAAGAAAGAATATAGATGCCATAAAGAAAGATATTGAGCATTTGTGGGGAAAAGGATGCACCTTGAGATCATAATGCTAAATGAAATGAATGAGACTTACAAACTGTTTTTAATAACATGATGTCTTCTACATGAGAAACCCAGAGTACGACGAGCAAAATAAAAGAGAGGTCATGGAAAGTAGGGAGATAGATCTTTTGCATAAGGAATGAGAATCCAGAAATGGACAGGAAGAGGGAGGAAGGTGGAAAGGAATGAAAGATGTTATGTACATAACCAGGCATGGTGGCACACATCTGTAATCCCAGAATTCAAGAGGCTGAGGCAGGAGGATCACCACAAATTCAGAGTCAGCCTGAGCTACACAATGAGTCTCCCCAAAAAGATGTTGTGTACATGTATCAACTCCACACAAGGACTATAAACGTAGTACTGTGAACATGTACTAACAAAGATTCTTGAAAAATTTTAAATTTTTCATTGTAGAGGTCCTACACCTCTATTGATGATAATCTAAATTAATACTATCTATGGGAATTAGAATGAGGTTCCTTAAGAAAACTAAACATCATTTGACCCAGCTACAACACTTATTAAGGTTTAGGTCTAAATCTACCCCCCACGGTCACCTGTTCAGGTGGGGAGCATTTGGAAGGTGACTGGATCATGGAGGCACAGTGGATTCATCCACCAAAGAGTTTATAAGCTTACTTGGAAGGAGTGGGTCACTGGAGTGTGACCTGGAAGGGTGTCTCCTTATCTCCATTTCCACCCCTCTCTCTCTCTGCTTCCTGGCCTCCATGCAATGGAGGCATGGATTTTTCCATGCCAGGCTCTTCTACAAGCCCATTTCTGTCCTGCAGCTTGCAAGCCATGGACTGAAACTTCCAAAACCATGAGCCCAAATAAACATCTCCTTTAAATTATAGGTGCTGAATGTTTACCCCAGGGATAGGAAAGCTAGCATAATAACCACTGCTCAGTATCTTTGTGAAAGAATTAAAAGTCAGCATACTATAGATTCCTGCATACCCATGTTTACTGTGCCCCAATCCACAATAGCTGATTTGTGGAATCACCTTAGCTGCCCTCAACTGACAGATGAATGAAGGATATGAATGTAAAGAGACCGACAAAGAAAAATGAGATCCTGTCAATTTACAGAAAAATGGCTGGAACTGGAGATCATCATGTTAAGTGACACACGCCAGACTCAGAAACACAAATATCATATTTTCTCTTATATGTGACATCAGAGAGAGAGAGAGAGAGAGAGTGAGAAGAATGAAATATAAGTAGGAGGGGAGCTATTAGAGAATAGGAAGGAATAGGGAGGAATGACCTGAGTGTATTACATATGCAAATCTGCCTAAATTAAGCTCATTAATTTGTGTGATAGTAATAAAATGTCCTTTGCTGTGAAATTATTCATATATTTTTCGAGAAACAAAAATATGATTAGAAGATTTAGGGTATAGTACAGTGACAGAGACTCTGCTTAGTAGGCTCTGAGTTCGGTCTCATCCCAGAACAAATGGACCCAGAATATTCTATTTATATCATTCTTCTGAGTGTCCCTTTCAACCCAAGTAAGCATCTAAACAGCAAAGTGTATGTAACACATGCGTAAAAGTTCACACACAGCAATAGATGACGTGCCAAGAAAATGTCATCTCACCCACAGCCTCAGCGATACAACGATTCAGAGGAACTTGAAGTTTTCCATAGCTTTCCACTATTTTCACTGAAGGAGAAAGCCACAGTATTTTTTTTTTTTCTGTCACACTCGCAACTGTCAGACTGCCTTCCATCTGAGACTTCCTGTCAGCGGGCAGATGACTTCTTGTGAGGTGCTCTAGCTTTCCTCCTAGCCCAAGACACTGCCTTTTAAAGTTAATCCTTGATGTTAGTCTGGTAGGTTGATTAAGACTATCTGCATGTTTACACATTAGGCTGTGTTAGACTGGAATAACCCGGTTTGGTTAAACACGTAGGCTTGGGGGTTCTGCATCCATTTAAAACTTTAATGAACTCAAATTTTAAGC